AGCAATTGCTAATTAATTTGATTTTGATGATTGATTGAAGAATGATTTGTCAAATAGTACATTGGACAACAATAGCCCAACGTGATTAACACCTGTAAACTCACATTGTCACCTGTAAAAGCACTAAGCGTTTCAATCTCTTGGAAGCGATACTAAATATTTCTGCATTTGATTGGCATCACTTTGACTTACCTTCTGGTTCCAATGTTACTGCTGCCGTGTCTACTTGTTCACAGTGATGGAAATCCGATAACTGCAAGAAGAAATGTAAACTTTAATTATAGCAGAGGCGACGTCTCGTAAAATCTGACGCATCCACTCGTTTGCAGTAGTTGGCCAACATGTGCTCTCAGCACTGGTTGCTGGGTAGCGATTGTTTAGCACAAAATGATGGAATGTCACGGTGACATGGGGAACAAAGGGGCGAGATAAGTAGAGGGCGTTGGGTCTAAAAGCGAGTGGATCGCCAAACTGCTGTCTATTGTGAGGGTAACAAGTATTCACGATTATTTATCTGACTGTCTCTTGTCATTGGCTTTTGGTGCCAGGACGATCCACCTGTGAGTAAGCTCGTGGGTTTGAAAGTCCACGACATCCTAGGGCTTGGAGGTCGCATTCTGGTACCTTACCATGTTCGCCCAATTTACCTGCTCACGTGGCAAAGACCTTCGAGAATATACCACTCTTGCAGTCGCAATCTTTCATGTTGCCTGGAAGCCACGAGTACGGCAGCCTGGGCTGCAGTATGTTTTCCTTCCCAGCATGGCTAATGCTGGACGAGGGAGATACCCATTCCGTCGAGATTGACTTCTTTCGATCACAATGGCCATGTACGCGGGCATCATTCGACATCTCAATTTCTGCTTTCTATTGTTCTCCTCATGGCTGTGGGTAATTCTGGCCCTGAGGTCTAGAATTCACACTAATATGTAACTTGCCCAAGATTGACTAAGTCAAATCTTACCACCAGTTTTGATGGATAAGCAGTGCACTAAAACCGACAAATATGATCTCTGATTTGCACATGATATGGGCATGTTGACATGTTCGTGGCATTTAGTGGTCTGTACCTCTTGGCCGCAAGGATTGCATCAAGTGTGGCTTGTCTGGTCGACGCCAAATCTAGTGTACCCTTTGCATCCCATTTGTACCGGTGCAGGTTGGCACATGATTGGCTAGGCTCACTGTGCCGTGCTGTGCCCAGTCCTCGTCTTTACAACTTCGAAGCTCTGCCCGGAGCCACCGATCCATCAGATGGGATCCATCATTGAACTCCAAATTTTCCAACTTCCTCGGAACCCCTCGCCCTCCAGACGAGCCTTCAACCTTGTTGGACAAATGGATGCCACCAACCGCACATTCTACAAGCGAATCCAAACCGTGAAGACCACCGAAGGACTAATCTCCTAAAGTGCCGCCCTCATCACCAACTCTTTCGGTCGCAGGGTCGTCAACATCGCAGTTGTCAGAAGGACTCGCGAAAGCTGATGTTGAGAATGGGCAAGATTGGAGTGCTGACTACATTTGCAAAAGAGATCAGCCCAGAGTGATATGTTCTAAGAGGTAGCAATTACCCATTCAGCAGAAGCAGGGTGAAGCTTGACGGGATGCAGCGTACCCGCGAGAGGCGTGTGCATATATAATAAGTTTGCATGTAATGCTAGATGCAAGTTCAGATCTGCGATCTATTCAAACCATAAGAACTGGAATGCGTCAACAATAAAACCTGAGCAGAACTTCAATCTAGATTTACGACAATCGGATCCAGAAAATGACTGCCCTGCATTCTGGGCACCACTCTGTTGAATTTGAATGACATTACTGAACATTCAAATCTTCGAAGTTTTTTCGAGCATCAGATTCACAGTTCTCTCTTAGATGTATGTGCTTAAAACTATACTTCTCACACACTATTCCATAAACCACCACTAAACGTATAATCAAAATCAGACCAATCTTTGCTGTTAGCAAATACATACAGAAGCAAATGTTCCCCGTTTGGAGTGTATTTATAAAAGTTATTCCAGCTAAGGTGACTTCGATAGTGTTTTCCTCTTAATCCTACGAAAACCTAGTTTGAAAAATTCGAACGATTAATTCTGAAGCGTGATACCTGGGTAAAAGTCATTCAGAAACTATTCACAGGACTAGTTTGAGTATTGTCACACTTTTGTGACGCTATTGACACCAAAAAAACGAATTTTTCACGTGCATATTGTATTCCCCTGGGTGAACTTCAAAAAATCAAAGGTTCAACTATTTTTCCAACTTCTGCACTTTGAAGAAATAGCTCATAGGCCACATTAAAAGCACTTATAATGAATTTATGCACTGCTTATTCACTTTGATGATATAATTGTGTGGCTTTTGGTAGATGAAGATGGCAGCTCTTTAGAAAGAAATTGGGACCATCTCTTACAAACACGGTTTTGAGATGGCTTATCAAAATCTTTTCGTGAGCGCATGTCCCAGATGGAACTACTACGAAATAGCCCATGAAGGATGTATCACTATTTTCGGAGAATCTTATAAGTACGAGATCTTTATTATTTGCAACATGCTATCTACCGTATGCAAAGCATCTCCTGAACATCTTTTTTTTACGAACCTGCACTTAAATGCTTGATTTCTTATCGCAGCCAGATTGCTTGGAAGCACTGATGTATGCCTTAATACTTTGGTCTGATTGAGTAGGACACTGGAAAGAAGGTCAGCAACCAGATCGCGGGAGTAATTCAGCCTGAAGAAGGCATGATCAACCCTGGAAAATGGAAAATGATTGGACTTGGTCTGTAGCAGCACTCACATATTATGAATCATGAAAAAGTCCGAAAGTTCAATTCCAATTGGCAGGTTTCCTTCAAGACTTTCGTAAGCAGTTTGTTGTGGCAGTGACAAGCACTATTAACACATTCATATTATCTTCCTCTTTTCGCATGCGGCCAAAGGTCCATGACCAGATACTGTCTAATTTTGTGGTATGATTGGCATTCCATCTATCTTTGGTAGATTCAGTGCTAGACGTGATAGACATACCGTACCCGGTCTCAACCCAGCCAAGGCCAGGACATTTAAGAAACAATAGTATTCTTCAGATACCTATCCTAATTTCTGAAAGACGAATTTCAAGTGGGGATGAAGAGCTTTAGCGTTCTGCTCGCGGTCCTGTATATGCACGAAGAGCCCACTTCAGGGCCTCGATTGGTAGTTACAATGTCCTGCTACCTTACAGAGGACTCTGAAGACGTTTAACTCCTGCAGCAGCGACCCGTTACCACTATTAACCTTCCATGAACATGAAGCATGTGGCAAGTAGTAAGCCTCCCAGTGGAATAATGTTAATTTTGGACCTAGAAGATACCGATTCAGCTCAACCGGACTTTAGTGGATCCCAAAGACTTTCTTGACCCGTTACAATGCTACTTGACAACGAATGCACCCACGTTTAATAGTGCTGGCAACTGTAACTATTATTGCCAACCCCAATTGTGAAGATAGTAACATCAACTTTCTGGTAAGAACCGAGAGTAGACTCGTTCTGGAGGACGATTTTGGTCATCTTGTTTCAGATCTTACAAAGATTTGAAAACGTTCAAGTTTTCGGACAGTTAACTTGGGGATGTAATGTACTATTAGTCATACATGTAGCTCATTCTATCGCACAACTGCACACTATGCTGCAGCTGGTACCATGCTGTTCAGACAGCAAGGCAGACTGCCAAAGATTGATCCAAAAACTTCTAATCTTCGAACTCTACTTTCAAACTTCCCAGGAGACAACGTGGAAAGGCCCTGGGAGTATAAAATGTGGCTGTTTGAAGACACAAAGCACAAGCGAAGTATCTTGTAAAGGTGGTCGGGTGGACTTCATCAGGTCAGTATGTCTCACTCATCAAAATTTCTCGATGCTTGCATTTGTCTTCAAAGTCTATGTCAAGTATGGCTCAGGCAGGTATTAGCGTCTACCTCTTAACAGAGACTCTAGTTAGAAAGCCATCATGACGTCGACATGAGAGAAAAAATTTGTTACAGTTTCATCCCAATGCTTCCTGCTCTTCTAACTCAGTCAAGCTAGGCTTAGCTAGAACTATTGCTCTATCCTGTGTAAGACACTACTTCTCGAGTCATGCTTCAGGCAAAAATTCTGAGTTTCATTGGAACTATCTCTGACGGTGTGACGGTCCCGACGATTGAAATTTAGGTGCTCGAAGCTTCTTGAGATAGTAAACCATCCATCTTTACCTTGTTGCAATGAGAAGATACGGAGTTATGGTCTACAGATAGATGCGGTTGAACATGTTCAGAAGATCATTGTCCCATGATCATTCAGACCGCTCCTACTATAATATTAAAGTATTTAGAGTGGAATTTGGATCAAACTAAAACTATTACAGACTAGAACGATGAAGAAATGAGGTTATCTAAAAGTCGTTGAATGTGACATTGTTTGCAGACGGTGAAATCTGAGAAGCATCCGATCCAGCTTTTCCCTAGTGGATACTTCACTGTATTGCAAGAGGGATCAAGATCAAAAACGAAGAACACATTAATTCCTAAACAGAAGCTAACGCCGTTCAAACATGGCGGTAGTGGGTTTGAGATGTCAGGTCATCCTCTTTGCACTTCTGATCATGGCGTCTGTCGCCTACGGGGCTAAGCTCTCAAAATCGCACTACTATAGAACGTGCCCAAAATTGGAAACCGTTGTACGTAACAAGGTTAACGAGATAGTGAATGCCGATTTGGGAATGGCTCCAGGCTTACTTCGCCTGCATTTCCACGACTGCTTCGTCAGGGTAAGCTGTTTGTGTTTATCGGTCGCTCTCAACATTTATCAGAAAGTATCTGGGTGACGGAATATTCGGAGGTAGACAGAAGTTTGAAGTGCAGGTCCAGATAGGGGTTGATCTTTGACATTATTGATTGTGAATGCATGCATCAGCAACTAGACTTCTCCTACTTAACACTGATCTCAAAGTAATTGCGGAAATGATCAGGGCTGCGATGGATCAGTGCTTCTGAATTCCTCCTCCAACTCAGCAGAGATGGATGCACCACCAAACGCTGGATCCCTCAGAGGGTTCGCCGAAGTTGACTCAATCAAAGCCGAAGTTGAAAAAGCCTGCCCCGGAGTAGTTTCATGCGCGGATATCCTGGCTTTGGCAGCCCGCGATGCCGTAGTGAAGGTCCTTCCTTTCGAACTTTAATATATTGTATTTTCTGGCATGCACGTCTTTTAGTAATTCATTTGCTCTTCAAATTATCTGGTCTGTCCATGCCAGCATATGGACGAAATAGATATTGAGCTTCTTATTAAACATAGCTACTTGTTTACTTTCACTTCCAAGTATTGTATGCTGCTCAATAAGCGTTTTCCTATCAGGTGTGATTGAACAGCATTAATATTTAACACATGGCTAAAAAACTTTGTGCAATTTTTGAACAGGTTGGAGGCAAATATTGGTCTGTACCTCTTGGCCGCAAGGATGGTTTCATCTCTTCCCTGGTTGAAGCCAATTCTAGCCTCCCGTCTCCATTCATGACGTTTGCTCAGCTTGTAGAGAATTTTGCTGCTGTGGGCCTCAACGCGAAGGATATGGTTATTCTTTCAGGTATTAAAATCATCGAGCAAGATGCCAGAAACAATTCATGGAGTGGATCTTCTGCCACCGAAAAGTCGAAATGTTTTTCAGTTGCACATTGAAAGTTAAGAGATATGGCCCACTCATCTATATGCGATGCATTTGTCTCGTTGCAGGAGGGCATACAATCGGTCAGGCTCATTGTGCTGTCGTGATCCCTCGCCTGTACAACTTTAGCGGTGTGCCCGGAGCCACCGATCCATCGCTCGACCCCACATTTGCCGACATGCTCAGAACCCTGTGCCCGTCAGACGAGCCTTTGACCTTCGTTGGGCAAATGGATGCCACTAATGGCACATTCGACAACAATTACTTCACAGCCGTAAAAAGTCAGAGGGGACTCTTCTCATCGGACGCTGCGCTCCTGACCAGCCCTCTTGGTCGCAGAATTGTGAGAGAATCAGCTCAATACCCTGGCAGTTTCTTGAGAGAATTCGGAAAGTCCATGGTGAAAATGGGCAACATTGACGTGCTGACTGGATCTGCGGGAGAGATCAGGCGAGTATGCTCCGCTGTCAACAACAATGGAAATTACTGATTCATCAGATGCAGAGTAGGGTTTACGAGAACTTCCAAATAGATGCAGGATGCCTGAGACAGGCATGTGCGGATAACATCAACTTTTCATAAAATGCATCCCAACCATTGAAACTCGGTGAGGTCAATAAGTGTAGATAGAAGCTACGCATGAGCTTAAACCTGAGAAATACCTAGGAAGTACGAAATCGAAACCTGTCCATTTGATCTGATTTGTCTACATTCTTCGTTCATAGCGTCAAATTCTAGCTGAGGATATCCAAATAAAACTCGTTGCAGTTTTTGTAACATGTACAGTTCAGTGCTAATAAAAGAATACTCTTCCAACCTTCAACAGTCATGGTTCCGTATACTGATGGAGAGTATGCTGCTAGCAGCGGCAATCAGATGTATAACTCATTTTCAGATCACGCGAAATGGTTGGATGAGGTATAAAAGTTGCACTCTTCCTGTAACATTTTCATGCATGATGCTGTGCGAGGACGAGAGGCTGAACCATGCGTTTGAACTGCATTTCCATATGCTGAAACAGATGCAGAGAGTCACGCAAGGCTCCTGTAGGAAGTGATTGACATTCTACTACATCTGAACTGTCGATTCCTATGACGGACAGAGATTATACTTGCGTATTTCTTTCGCCCTCTGTGTTGGCCCGGGAGCGATATCGCGAGTCACAGGCCGGTCTAATGCTGGGCATTTACGATTTAATGTCGACAATCAGAGTGCAGTGCATCCGTTTATGTTTGAAATCAGTTTCTGACATATATGGAATATGATTAATACCATGTGTATGTGGTCCCCTTTATTTCTGGAGGTACAAAATGTAAGAACACCCTGATCTGTAGTGGTAGAAAGCAACGACTGCGGATAATGTAAAACTTCTATTCTATTTGATACCTGTCAGCCAATGGACATAGGGCTGCTACCGAACCCACGAAGTTGTTGATTATTAACTTCTCGAGCTCATAGTAAAGATGTCTTTGGTAGAAACAAGGTAAAGTCTCGATCTGTATAAAATCTCCATATTCATGACATTTTTTTGGATAAGATCGATCATGGTACCAAAGAGATTATACAGACAAATAATAACATCTACCTATATTAAGATTCATGGAAACCTTGGAGAAGAAAGCAAGTTGAAAAATGTATCAAGGTCTTGATTTCGTTAGTCAAGCATAATCAAACCACAATGTCTTTGTTGATTCACGAAAAGATGACTCATCAATCACTTTATAGAACTTACAAATAAACGTTTTTGGGGTGTGCCTGAAGGGATCAGGCACACCCCAAAAACGTTTCTAATATCAGAACTTGAGGTTCAAGGGTTATTTATGTATAAAATCTAATGACATCCAGGCAAAATGTACCACTTTGTTAAAAAAAATTATTTAAAATTAAACCCCATTGGTATAAAGGCTTTCGGAACTGAAACTTATGAGTTTTTCATCAACTTGAATGATAAATAAGAAAATGATTTTCCATCCAAATATTTTTTATATTTTTAGAGAAAATCAACAAAATATTATGATTAGCAGTCAAAATTTCATGCATTACTTATATCACATCACAATAAATATGTCATTATGTTGAACATCACATGGACCCAAACGTGTATTGATGATATTTGCACTTTCAAAATATTCAAGGTAACAAAAAATCTGATTAAATAATTGAATTAATTAAAAATAAAAAATATACTAGTTTTTTAAAGTTTTTTTTCACCAAAATACTCTGTTTTATTTTGTAATAACCCACCAAAGGCTAAAACTGCAGTATGGTGGTAAAAAGATCGAACCCACAGGGACAGAGGCAACACACAGAGTAAAAGTGTCACGTTTAACAGACTTTTGTAGAGTTTGAATTCTAGGCGACTGTCACTCCCAGAAATACTGCAGTGCTCGACTCGGAGGCTCGACTCGGAGGAGGATCTCGACTCGGAGGATGCTCGGAGGATGCACGGTACAGCGTGGTCACTCAACACACACACACACACACACACACCTGAAACTGGCAAAAAGCACAACTCGGAGGTCGGTCAGGACCTCCGCTTCGGATTTCAGGAGGAAAGTGTCTCAAAAGTTCACTCAGAGGTTCTGCAGGTAGTGCCTCCCACTCCGGCTTTTACTGCCCTTCCGCCAGGAACTAGCGTAGGGTACCCGGACTGGACTTCCCACTTCGGAACGAAGCCTCTTCATACGCCGTGGACGTCACCCTCGACTCTCACACCAAACGCAGGGAGTGCAGACCCGACTGAGAACTTAACTGAGACACGATCCAGTAACACACACACAACCTGAATTACAAACCAAGGCTTACACGAAGTAATAAAACTTCACATTGGCATTCAGGGGAAACTTCCCGTAGGAGTACAATCAGGATATGTCACTCGAAGGAGTAAGGGGGAACTGTTCAAGTATCTAACTCGCAGCCGGCTCTTAGCATCAGAAATCACCTGCAGGTGCAGATCCGCACTACTCAAGTCTCTAACCGGGTACTAGCTCTGAACATTCAGCCGAAGGCCTTCAACTACAACATACGGTAACTTCGCTATGCTGCAGCTTCTCTACGTGGTGCCAGGACCAAAATGCACAAACACGCCAAGAAAGTGAGTTCCTGATCTGCACTTCCGAAACTGGAAGAGTCCCAAGGCAAAACGCCTTGATCTACTTTATACCCTCAAAGATCCTAACTAGCACTACGCTATCCTATCTACTACTCGCAGCATCTGCGCGAAACCAAACTATTCTACTGCACTCGGCTGATCCGGTGTTGCGCCTCCTGCGCGCCGGACTGCTCCGCTCGCTGTCTCTACCTTGCCAGTCTTCCGACCGGCTGCGCAACCCCAGGCGTCGGAGCGCTGTAGTGACTTCCGACTCTAAGTGCGCCATAGTGTCGCGCGCACCCGACAAGAAGGTTTCTAATTTCCTCGCCACTCGCCGCCGACTCCGACTGTCACCCTCCGTCAATGCCGCCGCCCGAAGCTCGAACTCCCTGAGTGTGATCCTCTCTTGAGCTGCCACCTCCCAATGGGCGTATCCTTTTAGACAACGAGTCACCCGTGTCGCCAACTCTCCTCGCGCCCTGCAGCTGCTCTCCACCTCTGCTAGCTGCATTTCTGCTTCCGCACGTTGTGCCCTCAAATCCGAGCACTCGGATTGCAAGTTGCGCAACAACTCCTCATCCTCCTTGCGGGCTCTTTGACTTTCTTCTAAGGCGCGCGTCTGGCGCGCAAGCTCGGCTGCTAGGACGTGGTTTTGTCTCCGCTCTTCCTGCAATTCCGACTCGATCTTTGCCCGCATTAGCTCGGCATCCGCCTGACTTTTCGTCGCCGCATCCTCCCTCTGCTGCTGCAAGGCTTGGTATAGCTTCTGTGTGACCGCCAGGTGTTGTCGGAGGGCGGTGTTCCTATCCACATATACTCCGCACCTAGAGGCCCACCTTGCCACCTTGCTCCTCGTCCTTCGCCTGATAGTCTCCACATAAGACTGCGGTTTTCCAGTACCCGCGTACTTGGATGTCTTGCGATCCAGATATCGCAGGAGTGGAACTATCTGTTCGCACAACACCCCTGTTGGCGTTTTCTGCACCGAATCCGCTTCCTGCTCTTCCGAGCTCGTCTCATCCTCAGTCTCGAGGATTTCAGTCGCCACCGAATCCCTTGGCGACTCCCTGGAACTGTGGCGCGCAGCAGCTTCCGCTGCGACTGCTGCTCCACTGCCTGCTAAAATATCCAGGGCAGTGGGAGATCCCACTGCTTGAGCCCATGTTCCGGCTCGATCTTCGGTCTCCGAAGGGGTCGACGCCGCAGTGACTCTTGTCACTTTTGCACCGCCCGCTTCTGCTACCTGCCCTTCCGGCGCAATCTGCGCGGAAGGTGTCTTCGCTGAAGGTGTGTCCGCCGAAGGCGTCCGCACACTGGTCGTCGGCCCCGTCCGTCACGCAGTCGGCGAATCCGGCCGACTCTCTGTTGTCCGACTCGCAGTCGGCCAACCAGCAGTTGTCCGACTGGGAGTCGGATACACCCTGCGCGTCTTGACTCCACTTGGCCTGCTTGCTGGTGGCGTTTTCCCAGAAGTGCCTTCCGCCGAGGACGACCCTCTGAGGGTTGTTGGCTCGTCAGCCAAACTCTCTTCTGCTTCCGGCCTGCGGTCCGGTTCAACGCGCCGTTCAGTTGGCCTTCCTTCCGCTTGTCGGCCTTCAGTCGTCCGACTCGTAGTCGGCCGACTGTCAGTCCGTCCATCTCCTCCCGAAGGCATTGGTGCCTTCTGTGCAGAGGTATTTGTCGTCTTCCCTAGAATCTGCGCGATTATCTCCTCCTGTGTGAGATTCCGCCGGAGCGGAGTTCGCCCGGTCTCCTCAGTACCAGTTGGCATTTTGCGTGCCCTCTGTTTTGGTCGACTGTGAGGCTCGGGGGTGGGCCGACCACGAGTCGGCGCAGCTGGCACTTCCGGCTGCCTGTCCTCAGGTCTCTCATCCCACTTCCGCTTTCGCGGAATGCGCTCACTTCGACGTTCTTCTGCTGCTCTTGCTGGAGCCGGAGCCGGAGGCGTACTGGCAGGTTCCTCGTCCGGATCCGTGTCTACTTCGGCTTCCCTCGAATATCTACCTGGATAGCTCCGGGTCAGCTGCGGAAACCGTGTTTTCTCAGCATTTGTCAAACATCCCATCGCCCGATAAAACACGATCAAGTAAGGCGATAGATGATTGAGGGTTCCTCCTTTCTCTTCTTGCGCATGTTGGCGCGTCACCTTCCACAGGAGCCGTGCCCAATGCACTGGAGCTCCTGACAACACTAGCTCCACAAATTCTACCTGCCAACCATGCATGTAAGCGGTCTTGGTCGGCTGCAATATCTGCAGCAATGGAGTCGCGACATTTCTCCGCAATCGATCTTTGTAATCCCGTGTCCGGAAACCGTTCTTGGGATGCCTGGCAACTTTGAAGAGCTCATTGTAGGAGATTTCTTCCTCCTGGGACACCTTCACGCTATCGGCCTCGAAGAGGAGATCCCCTTCCTCGCCGGCACACCTGCCCAACACCTGCGCCCAGTTGCAAATGTCCCATCTTTCTGGATGTGGACGGAATCCGCGAGAGGGCTTGTGTCTCTCCTGCAGATACTCGCGCACCATCTCCGGACATGTCCAGTTCCACCCCCACAGGAGAAAATCGAGCTTCAGCCCCAGCAGCACATCTTGAAATGCGCGTAGACCGATCTGCGGCACCCTGAGTGGAGACACTCGCAGCTGGGGAACCTTCGACATTGCGTTTCCTGCACACACAAACGTTCTCCCTTTCGCTCGCTCTCTCACTGCAGGTCGCTCCAGC